GAAGGAAGGAAGGAAGGAAGGAAGGAAGGAAGGAAGGAAGGAAGGAGAAAAGATGGATAGAAAAATATTTCGAGAGGGAGGAAGGAAGGAAGGAAGGAAGGAAGGGGGAGAGGGGAGGGAGGAGGAAGAATTGGGAAGGAGGAGAGGAGGGAGGGAAGGAAGGAAGGAAAGAGGGAAAGAAAAGATGGATAGAAAACTATTTTGAGGGGAAGGAGGGAAGAAATGAAGGAAGGGGAGGGAAGGAGGGAGATGGGAAGGAAGAAGAATTGGGAGGGAGGGAGGGAAGGAAGGAAAGAGGGAAAGGGAAAAGGTGGGTAGAAAAATATTTTGAGGGAAAGGAAGGAAGAAAAGAAGGAGGGGGGAAAGGAGGAAGAGGGAGAGAAGGAGAGGGAAGGAAGGAGAAAAGAAGAAGGAAGGAAAGGGATGGGAAGAGGGAGGAAAGGAAGGAAGGAAGATTGGAAGAGGGAAGGGAGGGGAGAGAAGGATACTGTACCTGCATCAGGTTAAACCTTGCCACTTCGTTGATGGGCGCATCTGAAATAATCCCATACTGTTCGGGGTTGACCACCGCTGGGCAGATGAAGCAGGCCAAGAGGAGGTCCGTGCACATGGCCCTGACCTCACCCACCTCCAGCCGCTCCACGCAGGAGAGCGTCTTATACATCTGGGACATGATCCACCTCAAGCTGTACGGGAAGCAGTAGGTGTTCTGCTTGAGGTAACCAATGAATTTGTTGACCAGGGCCACCAGCTTGGCCTCGTTGGTCTCCACCATCTCCTGGACCCTCTGGCGGAACCGCTCCGACCCCTTCTCCCCGAAGAGCTTCTCCTGCTGGGCGGGCGAGAAGCGCTCGATGAGCTTGTGGGCCTCGGTCTCCAGGTGGTCTTCGTCCTCCACCAGCAGCTGCATGATGGGCTCGTGCAAGGTGGCTGTCAGGAAGAGCTTGGCGGAGAAGAGGCCCTCGGAGAAGAGCTTGAAGAGGATGCTGAAGGCGCAGGTGCCCCGCCTCAGCAGCCGCCGGGGGTTCTCGCTCTCCTTCAGCTCGAACTCGATCAGGTAGCGCAGGACCTGGAGGAGGAAGCTCTCGTCCTCGGCCATGATGCAGTTGCCGTAGAGGGAGGTGAAGACAGTGTGGATGACGCTCTGGATGCTCTCCTGGCTTAGCTTCTCGCCGGCCACCAGGCAGGAGGCGATCAGGCGAGGGTTCTCGCGCAGCCGGTGGAGGAACTCGCCGTAGGCCGTCTCTTGGAAGCCCAGCTGCTTGTAGCCGTCCACAAACTGCGTGTCCTCCAGCACTTTGGCGTGCTGGCAACACTCCGCGGGCGAGGCATCCGCGCTGTAGCGAGGAAGGGGAGAGATTTCCTTACGGAGGTCCGATGCATGAAGGAGGCAGAACGGCAACAGACAAAGGTCCTCCTCGCCTTGCGACCGGCCCCTTGGAAATACACTCAAAAGTTACAACGATCCCCTCCAGAAGGACTTGCAACCTGTGTCAGGATTCCAGCAATCACCCTAATTCAATCATGATCCTCGAGCCAAACTTCAAAAAACGGAGTGTTTGTTCAGCAGATATATTCTCGGTGTGCCCAGAGAAAGATCTGCCTCTACCTAGGATCGAACTCACAATCCTCCCGATTGTTGAGGCGAGAGCTCCACCTCTGGGCACACCGCACCACTTAATACTACCTGTATTATTATATATATAGTATATATTAGCTCCATTCAAAACATCGTAAATAAAAACGCTGAAATAATAAGATTTCTATCCCGTTCCTTCTAAGGGGGAAATGGTTGGGGTTTGGAGGAAGGCCTCCCGCGTTACCTGGTTATGATTAATCGGTCCAAGTTGATTCTCTGCTGCTTGGAGATCCACGCTGTGTGGTACAGCTTCTCGGCCGTCTTCAGCACCTCGGCGTTCAGCCTCTGGATCAGCTGCTTCTCCGAGTTCACGTAGAGCCGCTCCTGCTTCAGGTGGTGGGCCAAGGTGTGGATGTCCAGCTTGACCATTTTCAAAAGAGGAGGCAGCAACGGAAGAAGTCAGCAAAGCTCGCTGCCGAGGAGGAGGAAAAGCAAAAAACGGAAAGAGATGAACTTGAGGTCCACCTTGGGAAGAAAAGTCAGGAGGCCTTCTCTGTGCACCTTCCAGCCCCCCTTCTTGTCTAACGGATGAAGAAGAACACAGTCAAGTTGTTTAATCAGCAACAGAACGTAGAATAATCGAAAGGAACCCTGGAGGTTTTCTAGTCTAACCTCCTGCTCAAGCAAGACCTTATATTTGCTGTCCAATCTCTTCTCCAGTGATGGAGCAACCATAACTCCTGGAGACAAGCAGTTCCACTGAATACTTGCTCTTATTGTCAGGAAATTTCTCCTTAATTCCAGGTTGGATCTTTCCTTGATAAAAATTTCCACCCGTTGCTTCTTTTCTTGGTCTCTGGTGCTTTGGGAGATAGGACAACTCCTTCTTCTCTCTGATAGCCCCTCAATTATTGGAGGACTGCTATCATGTCACCCTTAGTCCTTCATTAGATTAGGCACACCCATTTCCCTCTATCGTTCATCACACGGTTTAGCCTCCAGACCCTTATTTATTTATATTCCACCTTTATTATTTTTACAATTAACTCAAGGCGGAGAACACACAATGCTCCTTCCTCCTCCTATTTTACACACAACAATAATCTTCTGAGCTGGATCTGGCTGAAAGAGAGCGAGGTTGACTGGCCCAAAGCCACCCAGCTGACTTTCAGGCTAAGGCGGGACTAGAACTCACCGTCTCCTGGTGATTGACTTAAAATCACCCAACTGGCTTCCATGTCTAAGGTGGGACTAGAACTCACCGTCTCCTGGTGATTGACCCAAACTCACCCAACTGGCTTCCATGGCTAAGGTGGGACTCGAACCCACGGCCTCCCCCTTTTTAGCCCAATGCCTTAATCACTAAACCAAACTCTAAATTATAGTTACTTTTAGAGACCTTCCAACTCTTGAAGTTCTACATTTCTTGCTGGAATTGTGTATATATATATAGATATACACACAGACACATACATACATACATACATACATACATACATACATACACACACACACACACACACATATATACATATACATACATACATACATACATACATACATGAGGCAGCCTATCAATTTATCTTCCATTTTCAGAATTTCTTGGGGATCAGCAATTTTCTCAGTTGGAACGCTTCCTTTTTCAAGCCCTTGAAAGCAAACTCGTTGTTTGACTTCTGACCAGACTTCTGACCATAAGCTTTACGGAACAAAAAGCTCTATATGAAGTTTGATAAAAAGTTCTATATTGCAATAGCAGAAGTGGGACAAATGTGTGGGGATTTTTTTTTTTAAAAAGAGTCTGATGTTTCACAAAGAAGCACTTTAATCCAAAGGAAGCCATTCAGCATTTTACGGTGGGAACGTAATCTCAAAACAGGCCCTTGTAAAGCCATGTTGTGGGAAGATACGGGAGAAAGAGAGAGAGAGAAAGAGAGAGAGAAAGAGAAAATGGCATCTTGTTCATTCATCTAACCGTGTACATTCGAGAAAGGGGAGGAAATATTTTCTTATGTGTAGAGACATTGATGTAGCTCCCTTCAAGGCTGTATCCTTCAAAAGGGGCTTCCAGTGTGAAAGCTATCGTTGGTTTAAAAGCTGATTATTCAGCCACAGTTAAAAATACAGAGGAGGATTGTGGAAGGGACAATCTTCCCTTTAAAGACAATCTTTAAATACAGCTGGCGCAGGAAACGTTCGGCAAAAATGCCAGGACAAAAAGAAAAAAAGAACTTTTTCAACCGACGAAGGAGTCCCTGTGTTTCCACAGGATAATAAATTCCACACAATTGGGGCAGCCACAGAAAAGGCCCCGTTTCTCACCAGATCCTTCCTCATTTCTAACTCCAGATGAGACTCTGATGTCGGCAAACAGGCAGCTTGGAAATGATAGACCTTGTAGCATTGAGGTGGGTTGTGCAGAGCAAACTTGACAAATGATAAGTTTATTATATCAATGTGTGTGTGTATGTGTGTGTGTGTGTGTGTGTGTGTGGAGCCCATCACTTTTTAAAAAAATATATTCTTTGCTCTTTTTTCTCAGTCAATATCCAGAGGGCTGGATCCAAATCTCACCCCCCAAAAAATAAATTAAGAATCAAAGCAAATGCACACAACAGCCATGGATTTGAAGCAGCTCTAGAAATGGGTTGTGGACCATGAGTAAGAATGAGGCTTGAGCTCAGGGAAAAAGGGGAACTAAACCGGGGTGGTGGAGAGAAGGTGCAAAGAAATAATGACTGGGCCTCAAATCTCACTTTCTCTCCTATTCTCTCAGCACTGCAACAGCTGCAGACGATCCTCTTGCTAAGAAACAACCAACGCCGAGTTTTACGGCGTTTCCACAAAAATAGTAGGCGTTTGAATGGGACACCAGAATGAGGGTTGAAAAAGGTTGACTGCACCCTTGGTTTTAAGAGAAAGGGATTGAATCATCATCATCTGAAATGTTTAAAGTTCAGCTTATGAATTCATCAGAAGGAAACAATTATGGGAAGGGGATTTAGAGATTAGATTAGTGCTAGTTTACGGGGTGCAATACTCATGGAATGCACTTTTTTAAAAAAAAATATACACAAAGTGCAGAATAAGAAGGGGAACTTTTCCTGAAATTCAACACAGGTGATCCTCGACTTACAACCAAATATATATTGGCTGATTTATATTCCATTATCAAGCAAAGGATTTCCACCATGCTGTGGGAAGTATGTAGAGAAAGAGAAGGCTAGTTAGTTAAATGTAGGCAGCGCCATCAATGAATAGTGTGTGTGTGTGTGTTCAGTGTGTGCACATACACATACACACACAAAACTTTCAAGATGGGGATCAGGTTCACTCAAAACTATTAGCAGCATTTTACCCTAAGAGACCACTTCATCTGCACAAATATATATTTCGGATATGTTGATCCGAGCACCGAAATGTTCGCATTTTCTTGGAATATGTACTATACACATAGAGAGACTTCATATGCCTGTGTATATGTTTGGTTCTGCTATTTTGTATTTTCTTTTGTTTAATACTGATGTATCATTCCCTCCCATTAAAAAAAATGCAAATATAAAAAAGTATCACAAACGGAAAACAAAACAATACCCACGAGGCAAGTCGAGCCCTACGTTTCATCCGCAAAAACCTGCATTTTTCCTCTCCCAACTTTGGCACAGGAACCTCTTAAAATATCTTCAAAATTCTACTCCAGAACTCTCCGTCTCCTGGTGATTGGCCCAAAGTCACCCAGCTGGCTTTCCTGCTCAAGGCAGGACTAGAACTCACCATCTCCTGGTAATTGGCTAATCTAGCCAGTGTTCTGAGTAGGTATAAGAGTGTTTAATAACGCCAGGTCGAAAGTGGAGCTTAGAAAAATGAAAAACATCCTTCTTCAAACAAGCCAAAGTTCAGAAACCCGATCCGTTGTTTTTTTTTGCCGAAGGAGAGAGTTAATTTCTCGGTTTAGTCATTCTTCTTTGCAACCTTGAGTCCTTTCCTATCGAGGAAGTATCCCCAAGGAGGAGATAAGACAAAATATGCAGTGGTGGGGGAAATAAGAAAAATTGTATGAAGTCTGATCTCCAGCACACAGCTGGAAAATTCCTCTTTCTAGCAGAACTTTTACAAAACAGGACCTCCAAGTTTTATGGCTAGTGGAGATTTCCAGGAAGCATTTGTTTTTTTGTTTTTAAAGGGGTTTTAATTTAAAGGGCTATAAAATTGAAGACTTCATTCCTTAAAGTACAGCTTGCTCTGTGAAAAGTATGTAATATTTCTTGGTTGATAGGTCTTAAATGAGCACGGCGTTATTGGGGGGGGGGGGGGAGGACAATCACTGCTCTTGTGAATTGTGGTTGTGTCTGCATGCGCTTTAGAGCAAGCAGAGAAATATATCCTCTCTTTGTAAAACCCCGGCCAAGTAGTCCTTAACCTACGACCGCAATGGAGCTCCAAATTTCCGTGGCTAAGCAAGGCAGTTTGGTTTTTGCTCCACTGTGCGGCTTTTCTTGCCACGGCCGTTAAGTGAACCGCTGCAGACCCTTAGTGATATGCTTGTTAGGTGCCTCTGCAAAAGGGGATCGACACGACACTGCAACTGTCATAAGTACATGCCAGTTGCCAAGCATCTGAATTTTTGATCACATAACTACAAAGGTTAAATGTGTGTGGGGGGGGGGGGGGCCAGGGGTACTTTTTTTACATGCCCCTGTAACTTTCAACAGCCTCTTGTAAATGATCTTGTTCATTCGCAGGATTTTATTTTTCTTCGCCATGCATCTGAACTAGATTGTGATGTTTCTCTGTGTCATATATGTTTGTGTACGTGGCTATATGCATAATAGTTGTCTTCTGAGAGCTGAAGGCAACAAAATTTCATTTGAATGTATGTTGGTTAGTGTACATTTAAAGTGACAAAGTTTCTATTCTATTTCATCTTCAATTCTAATTCTATTCTAATTCTATTCTAATTTTCTTTCTATTCTATTTTCTTTCTCTTCTTTGTATATTGCCTCAGGATAGAGAAAATTCAACCTTTCTTATGGGTACATTCTGCAATTTTTCACCTTTGTGTATGTTTCCACTAGAATTCTTTCCATGGGCCATTTACGGTATGATCCTGAAAGAACAGGTTGCAAACAAGATTGTCGTAGTGGGGAAAAAAAAACAACTATCATTGACAATGAATCAATAGGAACCTGATGGCCACCTAACCAATTAATCCATCTTGATATAAATAGGAATAGACACATCATATCCCTTAAGAAAAAAAAGAACAGTTCTACTTCCACTTTCTCCTAGCATATTAAAAAACAAAAACAAACCCACCATTTTTTATAGCTAAACCATCATGAACGCTGTGGTTAATGGTTTGGAATTTTATAATGAAACTACTTTGAGTTTGCAGTGATAATTTTTACTTCCTCTTCATACCAGACTTTCAAGTTTGTAACTGCATCAACATATATTTATCTCCTTTTTTAAAAAAAAAAAAAATGTCTTCTCTAATTTTTCTTCTTCTCTTTTGCAAAATGCTAAGATTTGGGGACAAAACCAGTGAAGAATGCAATTTTTCTCCCCTGCAATTTCTCCTACTAGGTTAGTCTGTTAAAACATCATGAAAGAATCTTTTGACCTCTTACAAGCCAACAAAATTATTAATGCATAAACTTTGGAATGAATCTGAAGGAGTGGGGTTGTTTATACAGTACGGATTAAGTCCTTGACTTACAACCACAATCGAGGCCAAAATTTCTATTCCTAAGCGAGATATTTCTTAAGTGAATTTTGTCCCATTTTTGGAACCTCTCCCACCAAGGTTGTTTAAGGGAATCACTACAGTTGGGAAATTAGTAACATGGTTGTTGAGTGAACCCGGGTTAGAGTGAGGCTTGTCAGAAGGTTGCAAAAGAGGATGACATGACCCCAGGATGCTGCTTCCGTCATAAATATGAGTCAGTTCCCAAGTGGCTGAATTTGGCCACGTAACCAGGGGGAATGCTGGACGGGACGTGTAAAAAAACAGTCATTAGTCACGTTTTTCAGCGCCATTTACTAAATGAATTGCTGTAAGTCAAGGATTACATGGAATAAATCAAGACTTCTCAAAATGTTTTAAGATTCTTCACTGCAGCAGAAAAATTGCTTAGTTCCAGAATATTCATGAAATACTGTACAATTACGAGTAATCGACAAGTCAATTGATCAGTAAATTTGTCTGCATCAGAGCCAAATCAACCCTTGACATTCACAAATCACCTTTCGGTGCAACCAACACAACTCAAAATGAAATCATCTACAGAGGAACAAAGCAAACAAACACCAAACAGAGATAAAAGCAAAACCTTTTTTTAATGCTTCTCTGTGAATTCTATTCATTCACAGTAACACGCTACTAAAAACTAATTGTCCCAGATAAGAACGAACCTTGCCAAGGTGGTTGCAAGGCTGCCAAGAACACTAGATAAAGTTACTAAGAAATATTTCAAACACAAAGAGTCTCCAAACACCAAGATATTCTGAAGGCTTGAGTGCAAAAACTTCTTTGCTTCCTGCAAAGAACTCCGGTTTCTCAGCTGGCTTTTATCTCTGAAGGGAGGGGTGATCACCTTGCAGCCTTACTCCCGAGTCGCCCATGCTACTGCAGCTGCTCTTTCCTTCGAGCAGCCCTGTGCACACTTGGCACAGGCTCCTCAGGGGCCTCTTTCTCACTGCTGCCAGCCTCCACAATCTCCGAAGGCAGCACTCCACTTCCTGATGGTCCTGGCCCCATCCCTGCATCACCCACAGGCCCCTCATCCGAATCCTCGCTCTCCGAGACCTCAGCCGTCTGCACCTGCTGCCGGTGAACCACAACACAAGCAAGTGTTGCTTTTGGTCTCCATCTTGTTTGCCTTTCCCAGAGGAACAACGGCTAATTGTTGTTACCAAGATGATAAAATATAGACCCTTGGAGCTTCAAGAGCTGAGCCATTCACACGCTGGGACCAGCATTGCCCAACCTGCTGGAAGGAGGCTAACACGAGGTGCGTCTTTTGTGGCTCAACTTCTGCTAGAAAAGCAAGCCATCGCTCTCAGCCAATTGCACAAGCCAAGTTTAAAAGTGACGTGACCGGTTGCAGAGGAGTGGTTAACCTGGGACTTGCTCATCCAGGTTCAGGAATAAGGACAAATCTTTAGGAGGATCGAAGACCAGCTAGTGATAAAACAGATGGAGTAAATTGAATATGAGGCATTCGGATTGTTGAATGGACCATTTGGAACTGAATCTCCAAATCTCCAAGCCCTGCAAAACCAGTTTAAAACAGGAACCACCTAAGAATAAACTCCAGAAGCACATCTGATATTAAGAATTAACCTCCCAAATAATACGTTCATGATTTAAAGCAATTTCCACCCTCTATCCCATCATATAGGTTGTGAGTCGCCTAAAGTAACCTCATGGCGAGATAGGCAGCAAATAAATATAATAATATTTTGTCCTAAAGACCTAAGGGGTTGGCTGGAAATATTCTGGCTTGCGAACGAGGTTGAAGCATGAAACTGAACTGGAGGAAGAGGAGGTTTGTCAAAGCAAGAGATAAACCGAGAATAGTTGGGTGCAAAGAGAAGGCAGCCGGGCTAAATTTGGGAAGGAACAGGCGGTTGACGGTGGGCATCAAAGCAAAATGCATTGGGGGGAGACGGGGGTCAAAGGATTTGTGGGTGGTGACAATAATACCCTGAGCTTGGAGGGAAACAGAAAGTAGGATGATGGCCGGGCAAAAAATAGAAAAGGTGGGAGGGATTGGCAACCTGCAATTTGAAAGGAGGGAGGATATAAGGCACCAGGCTAGAAACTGGGAGTGGGTGAGGTCTAATCATGAAAGCCAACTGGGTGCCCTTGGGTCAATCACTAGGAGACGGTGAGCTCTAGTCCTGCCTTAGTAATAAAACCCAACTGGGTGACTTTGGGCCAGTCCTCTCTCTCTCAGCCTAACCCACCTCACGGGGTTGTTGTTGGGAGGAAAATAGGAGGAGGAAGGAGCATTAGATCTGTTTGCTGCTTTGAGTACTTTGTAAAAATAACCAAGGTGAGATGCCAATCAATCAATATCCACTCAGAGTGACCCTCGAACCGCAAGGGAAGCAGCAAATAAACGTAATCATAGTCCAATAAATACCAAAAGGGCAGAAAACCAAGGAACAGGGAAGGGGTGATGGATTAGGAGCAATGAAAGAGGGGGGCAGATAAGCCAGTCCTAAGGGAAGGGGTTGGGTGTAAATTAAGGGGGGGGGGAAAGAGACCCCAGG